CTTAGTATGTTAAAATTATTACATCAATAAAAGCGGAGGTGTCGAGATTATGAAACGTCGTCGCAACTTTTGAGAATCCATAATGTTGACACGAAATTGCAGTTCTAGCTGCACATTTAATATTATAAGCTTGGATTACGTACTTAAACTTCGTCAGCGAACATGCTGCGCGCGCGTTGCATGCGATTACGACGGAAAAGGGTGAAATTTGCCAAAGTTGCTACGAAAAAGCTTTCCGCGGTTTTCTATCGCGCGACTTACGAACCAATGCGAGCTATCGTAGTCACAAAGAAAACCGCGAACGAAAAAGCTCTCGTAAGCACACGAGTCAAGCAAACGAGCAGACGTCGTCTGAGAAATTCTGTCCTCCCGGAAGACAACATGAAGAAAATTACTTCGCTGGTTGCGTTGTTGGAAAAGTAATTAACGCATTCATCGAGAAAGAGAGAGAGAAAGAGAGAGAGACAAAATCGAGCATGTCGGTATTCTACTAGGAAGTTTACTAATTTCGCGTACTTTGCAGTGCGTAATCAAACGGAACCAGTATCGATCGCGGTGTATCCCTATGCGCTCCGTATCCCTAGAGGCAATGCACGAAATGCTAAATAATTTATCACGGAAGTACGATCATTTCGCGAGACAGCGGAACCCGACGCGGACTCGGCCTCAACGACTCGATAACGGGCGAACGAGTGTTCTACGCGAACGAACTGGAACAAGAATCTAGAGCCGGAGGCGATGAGAGATGTAGAGCCACCAGAAACTATAGAATATTGCGAGCCAGAATTATGCCGGCAACGAGATTTCAATGCGACCAGCTAAGTGAAATAGCTAAGTTAATTATGGCGCCGTTCTCTAATCGAGTTCTTCTTTACACTATTAATTATAGTATGGGATGAAAGATAATATAGGAATAAAGTGCGCGTCTCAGGAGATGATAATATTATATCGCTATATTTGTATAATAACGTTTCAGAATTATGTGAATCGTTCATTTTGAAAATAGTATAAGACTGATGCTTGTATACTATAATGAAAATTTTAATAATATGCAAATATGAATAAATTTTTGCAAAATTTACAACATTGAGCTGATATCATCATTGATTTTTCGAAATAAAAATGGTTTATATATTTTTAATTCATTCATGCTTTATAAACGTGCTATCAGTCGTTAATAATTATTTATTAACAATCATCCTGATTTTATTTTACATATTGTAGTAAAAAAATGCAAAATTAATATTCGTAAATATAATAAAATTTTGCAAGATAAATATGCGAAAATTTATAGACGTTACAATCTTCATACGCATACACTCGGGGCGCTCTCATAATTTTAAATAGATTATAAATTTTCCTGTAAATTAAGTTATAAGACAGACTCACTAATAAATATTTGTTAATAATCCTGATTTTGCTTTGAATATAGTAAAAACACATAATTAATATTTTTTCGTAAATATTTTAAAATATATTGAAAAAATTTAATAAAATTTTACAAAATAAATATGCGAAAATATGTAAACATTACAATCTTTACAACACACATACTTGCTTTCATAATTTCAAATAAACTATAAATTTTCCTACAAATTAAGTTATAAGGACAGCCTTGTATGTGTGTTTTATCTTTTATAATTGCAGATTCATCAATCATCAAACATTTAAGAAAGCGCGATTATTATGTTGTGAAAATAATAAACGGATGATTGGAAATAAATAGGTGTTTTATCATAAGATGTAGCCATGACAAATTTACTCACCGAACGGTACGGTAGATATCGCTGTACGAAACTTCCCATCGAGACTGTACTGCACAACTTCAATCGAGAGCTCTCACTCGCGTGAATACGAATGTCGGAAAAACGCAGCAAATTTCGATCGCGCATAACGATTAATCTGCTACAACGATCGCCCGGCAGCTTCCGCGGCACTCCCGACACATTTTTGCACACGCGATGCACTTTTACCGGATAAAAAATGCGAAAAACATGGAACGGCTTCGCACCACGTCTGCCCGATTTGACTAGCGCGAAACTAATATGGCGTGATGTATGCGCGCACGCTATTGGTCGATTTGAATATTTCAAGGACACTTAACCGCGAAATTATGAAATAAATATAACTACAACTTACATATAGTTATATAATAGTGTAAAAAATATATATAATATATATAAATAATAGTGTATATAATAATAGTGTAAAAAATATATATAATTAATATAATATAAATAATAGTGTATATAATAATAGTGTAAAAAATATATATAATAGAATTTTTAAATATGATAAAACGCAAAATATGTTAATTTTTTCTAATATAATCCTTTTCAGATGTCATAAAATAGATTATAATTAGAAAAGAAAAAAAAATAGATAGAAAAATTAAATAAGACATATATAAATATAGTAAATATATAATTTGCAATTTCGAAGCTTTTTCATGTAAAAATTTTCATATTTCTTATTCCATTTTGTAGAAAAAAATTTACAAATTTTCTAGGATATTGATCAGAAATATAAATATACATGTTAAAATCTTTCTTAACTTATTCTTGTATATAATATTTGCTGTTCTTTTTATATATAAAATAGCAATAAAATTTTTTGCACAAACAAATCTGTTGCACATATATCACGTATATGATGAAGAAAAGAAAAGATCAATGGGAAGTATAATGATGATTAATACGAAAAAAAGAAGCGACTCTTAATACGAAGAAAAAATAGATTATCGAATAAGTATAAAATCGAGAGCACACGCAACAGGAGTGTGAGCACGAAATGGATCGGGAATCAGAGAGGCGGAGAGGGGAAGAATCGTTGGTGCGTTTGAGAGTTAAATGGACCGTAGACAAAATAAACAGGGACGAAAGAAATTTCCAGCCATCGCACACGTGAAGCCACGCGAACGCCGCGAAAAAACGAGAGACGGAATTTCGAATAATACTTTTTGTCCTGCCTTCGATCTCCCTCTCTCCCTCCCTCCACCTCTCTTTCTCTCTTCCTCCTTCCCCTTCGTTCTATTCCACATCGCGAGAGAATACTTCCGAAGAATTTTCCGCAACGCGGTCTCGCTGGTACCCTGAAGGAAATCTCTTAACGCGATCAAAGTTTTCCTCGAGAAAATCCTTCGAGAAGTCTCATCCCGAGTTCAAAGGTAAACCTTTTATCTGAGACCTCCAATATGGAACCCTCTCGCCTCCGTTACGACATTTTATTCCGTCTTCTTTCTTCTCGTCTAGTAAAGGTATTCACGCATCTACGTTTCTCTGTATCATGGTTATTTCCGCTTGATGCTTCCGAAATTTAAATGCTTCCGAATGATATCACATTTTGAAGTTGATAATATTAGTTCTTAAGTATTACATACGGTGGATTTTTCCAGGAATGAAAAACAACGAGAAAGAAAAATCAAGAATTTAAACTGATTCAGATTTCAATGATATAAAATAATTTTTATATTTATTCGGGACAATAAAATTAATTTTAGATATGTTGATTTTTAAATTACTGTAAACAAATACACAAAAAAATTAATTTCTTTTTTCTTTTTATTAAAGAAGTAAAAAAATCAAGCTAGGGAGGCAAATACAATTTTCGATAAGAAAAATTGAATTATAGCAATCGTAGTAACTTATAACAATAAGACAAAAGGAGAATATTTAGAGAAATGTAATAGACAAGTGAAAAATCTTAATCAATTAAAGAAAGATATCTACCTGCTCTATTTTTGTGTCATCCTTTAAAAAGCATAAGTTGATTGCATACAAAATTTGTATATATTTCCAATATTCAAGAAATACAAAAGTGCGATCTTACATACGGCTTAAAGTGCTGTAAACATATAATGCTTTTAATCTTACAAATCTAAAAATAGTAGAAAAATGGATTTATCGTTTGTTATATTATATAATATTACACAAACTATCTATTTTAGCAGTTAATATCTTATGAACCGAGTACGTCATATGCAATTCTACAATTGATATAATTGAAAAATTCTTTTAATAGAAAGAAGAATATTTCTAATTCAGATTGTATCTAATTTAGTTTGAAAGCTATTTTTGTTTTTATAAAAAATACTCGGTTTCATAAAATGTGAAGATGATCACATAATGTCAAGGTTTATACTTACGAACAAATACGTGTGATTGAGATATAATACATTCATATTAGACAAGCAATAAAATATGCATCAAATTGTTTTATAAGATGCATAATAATTTAAATAAATCTTAATTAATTAATTATGTAATCGAGTTTTTACTGAATAATAAATACTTTAAGTTTTCATATATTCATAGGTCTAAATACTTATTACATATAAAATTATGTATTGCATTTTGATGCATGGAATAATAAATAAGTGCATAAATCAATGAGAAATTTATGAGAAGATAAAATAATATTATATAATATATATATATATATATATATATATATATATACACACATATTTATCAATCATTAAAAAAAATACAAATTTCCTAAATATGAATGCTTGACCATATTTAATGTGTTGGTCACAACGTATTGTAATACTTAAAAACGCATATACGAATATATAAAATTTTATTATATATAATTATAATATAATTATATTATATATAAATTATATTATTATATATAATATATTTATATATAATATGTATTATATTATATATAAATTAATTATGCTAAATCCTTGTTTTACAAACATTTTTTGAAGTCTTCAACATATTTTCAAATCTCTCAGATAATGTTTATATATTTAATATTATCTTTTTTATATAACAAAAAATTTAAATAGAATCAGCTGTATAAGTGATAATTTCATACGATCAGTTGAATGCAATTGTTTTTGGTAATTTAAATATAATATATATATATATTCAAATAAAATATAGATAGAGACTTTTGGAATAACTTAGTATATGTTTTAATTGAACGTATTTAACGTATAAATTTTATATAATATAGTAATGTATAAATTATATAATTTTTTAGCTATGTTATGTTTATTTTAGAAATAATTTAGAACAGTTTAAAACAGTTTGTTAAAACAAGGATTCAACATAGATGTTTCTCATAATACGATAAGTAGAATCTCAGTTATAGATAAATGACAATCTTATATGATTAATAGTTGAATATAGTTGTCTTTGGTAATTTATGGCAGTGTTTCATTACCAACGCGGCGAAGTTGCCGGTACAGCTTGCTGATTAATTAAAGATGGTCCACTACAGTATAATAGTGATAGTGTAAAAAATGTTCAATGTAGAATATTTAAAAAAAATTTTGTGTCTCTAATAAAAATCTCTTACCTCCAAGCGATGAGAGGTGCCAATCTTTCAGTTAATCTTTGATAATTTCTTTCGAGTTCTCGTTGATAATCTCGCTGATCAGGACCAATTAGATTCTTATTGCGTCGTAAAGCATCAAGACACTTTTTCTGGAAATCTTTAAAGCATAGACGAAGTTTGTGCTGCAATCTAGTCGGCTGCGCATTCTGTTCACGCAAACCAGACAGAAATACAACCGCTACTTCGGCAGGTCCTTGATTGACAGTCGTACCAATACAACCTTGAAGAACCATTTGCAACATTTTTGCATCAGGTGGTTCCTGAGCAGTTGCAGCAGCCACCTGAGGATACACAAGCATATTATAAACACATATAATAAAATCAAAATATTATTATAAAATAATATGAGCGATTGATGTACTTCGGCAGTTTTTTTCTGTATATCTTCGATCGCCACTTCAATAGGACTCAAAACTATTTGCTTCCGAGCTACGACTCGAATTCTAGTTTTCAAATATGGGAAATGTGTTGCCACTGTTAATATTGTTTTTCGTTTGCACTGTTCGCGCAATTCACCATGAGCCTTGCCGCCAGGAGTGAAAGGTGTCGCGTAAACAAATCGTTCTAAAATAACATTATGACAAATAAAAAATTGCAATAATAAAACACACACACACGTAAGCTGTATAGCTTATCTAAATTGTTATTTACTTATATTAAAATTCCGATGAAAAACTGTAGGTCTATGTCTAAGTTCGTGCGTTTCGAAATATGGTTCCACGTAAGTAATCTGCACATAAGCCTTGTCTGGTTCCAATTTGCTAGGATCTACAGGATTCGAATCTTTTATTATAACTATATTTTCTGCGCCAAACCTCTCGGCGTAAAAATTCTCAAGTCGCGAAAATATTTCCGGGAGTTTCGTCAATGTTGGTTCTTTGTAGACAAACTCTTCGCCAGCAAGATCACCAAATCTGGCGCCGTAAAAACCAACTCTGAAATACGTGCCGAAGACACGTTTGCCAGCCAACTGTTCTACGCGCGTATATGCTTCGTGAAGTTTGCTGTACAAATCCAAAAAAGTATTTGTATATATATTTGAAAAAATCAAGATCTCCTATAAATTATACAATAATTTGAATTCTTTTACCCGTGAATGTTAGCTAATTTCTTATAGTCGTGTGCAGCTTCAGCTATAGGCAGTAACACTCTGTAGACATCAGGTATAGCTTCATACATTCCAGCTGCGTGAAAAGAGCTAGCTGCGTGTTCCAATAATCCTGCCAATCCGCTTTCTGAAAAGTCAGGACCTAAACAAAGTCCTTCTTCCCTTCTAGCCAACACGTCATCGCCTACAGCGCTTTCCTCTAAAGCGTTTGGTGTCACAGCGTTTAAAGCGACGGCTCCTACAGGTCGGCCACCGCCACCAGGTTCCAATAGATGAAGATATTCTGCTACTAATGCGGCGCTATGTACCAAGCACATCGCTGCTTCCGTGTGGTTCTTTCTTTCCATGTGCTGTTGTGCCATATTTGCGAGCCAAGTTAATCGAAGATCAGGTGATCCTTGATAGCCCTTGGCGATTCTAAACAAAAAGTAAATTTACAAGATATATATATCTCAGTTTATTAATATTTTTAAACAAGAATCAAATTATTATTATTGAAATCTTACCTATACATTAAATCCAACAGCATTTCAGGATCTTCTTGAAACTCCTTCATTTTAACAGTATCGGAAAGGATCATATGAAGATTGAATAATAGATCTTTGACTTGTTCGGGGAAACTCGTATCTGCAAGTTCCGTATCCCTTTCAGCATATACCAGCACTGTTTTTAATGCTCTACGTAGTGCTCCTTCACTAGGAGCTCTTCCTCTTCCAACGAGAGCAGATAAGGACGTTGTGACTTGCATCTTGACGCGTGCAAAATTCTACAAAAATATAAAGCTTAAAGTAATGCTTTGTAGATTATTGATACTGAGATCATTGTGACAGCTTACATTTCCAATTTCGAAATTTTGTCGCATCAGCAAATATAGACTTGCAGCTGCGTGACTTCTGACAGCGCTTAGCGGTGAGCTGCATCGAGTAAGCAATGTTAAGCACAAATCCCCACAGCGTTCGCTTTCTTCATCGAATAATGCGCTATGATATTTAAAGACTAGAGCTCGCTGTGTATTGAACATGTGCTGAAGCACTGATGTACTTTGATTTCTAGCCAGTGCTCTTAGCAACACTTTTAACACTGCTCCAACAACTGCCCCTAAATAATTTCAAGTATATTACAATTACAATTCTTCTAAAAAAACTTGCTATATATTTAATTAAATATATAGATGAAATAAAAGATAATTAAATACCTCCACCACCGTCAGCTTGAACTACAGATTCTAAAGTATCTAATACAACAAGAGAAGCTTCAGCCGCTAAAGCTCCTTCTATGTGAGCATCTTGTTCCACAGCTCTACCTTCCGGTTGTTCGCAAGATCTTGAAAAAAATCGATGCAATTTTGTAACTTTAACTACAGCTTAAATTAATAACATTTTAATTACCTGTAAGGCATTTGATCTTTGCGCCATCTCAATTTGTCGCCGGTTACTCTTTCTTTCCTTCGCAGCATCATTTCACTTCTGGCACTTCCCTGACCAAGGATCACGTCTTCCAATCGCGATCTAATATCGCTAGTGGCTGCAGCTTGAGGTGGCAATCTTTTAAGCGCTTTTTTGCCTTTGTATTCGAAAGCCGCGGTAGCAATATTCAGTACTTGCAATAAACTCAGGATACGTCTTGCACTGAGTTCAGAGCACCATTGCGCTAACGCGGTTCGCTCCAATCCTTTGAGTATCCATAAGGCACACATTAATAGATGTCGAGTAGCCTCCGAGCTTAAAGACACACGACATTGATTTCCCGCGGTGTCCGCCGATGCCCCACCGGCAATGGCCAAAGCTACCGATTGCGTGATCGATCCGGATTCATCCGGATAAACACTCTTATCTTTGGAATCCCAGTGATAGAGTTGCGGTAAGGCATCCATTAAAATATTGAGTAATGGCAGATAAAGCGCAGCGACTCTGGCTTTCGCTGCGGGATCGGAATATCGCGAATCAGCGTCATGGCAACTCATAAGATACCGTACGCTTCCGATAGCTTTATTCTGTAACATCGGATTCGGTATCTCCAGAGTATTCGCCAAATCAGATAGAATGATGCCAACCAAGAAGTGTTGCTGTCTGAATTCTTGGCTGAGTTCCGAGAATCTAACTCTATCCCCGGGCACGAGGGTAGAGATTAGACTGCCCGAGCTGCCGGTTGACGGACTTGGTGATGCCGGAGCTGAACCTGAAGTGTAGCCTGTGCCGAAAGGAAGATTCAACGCCACATAATGCTCATGCGAACACACCGTTCTCACGAGGTCGAGTTTCAGAGCAAACAATGCTGCCGAATCGGGTATATGCATTGATGCATCCGACAATGAGCAGCAAGCAGCGCGTACGAGTGACAGGACAAATCCTCTGTCCATCACGGATAATAAATCAGATAGAAAATTGCCGAGGCTTGATATTAAGTTGGACGCCACGCGTATTTCTTTACCACAACGTGAAATTACTTCAGATGTCAATGCGGCAGCAAGCGTAGCGACATCATCACAGAACTGTGGCGAGAATCTTAGTTTTCGCGGAGCTTCCAGAGAGCCCGTCTCAGACATTGTAACAACCATCGAACGCACTATCAATTCTAGAAAGAACCAGGAATGAGTTATTGCCAATTCGCGTGCCTGACCAGTAGACACAACCCAGTGCAAAGCGAGTTCTTCGTGTAAAAGTCTTTTGGTAGGGTGACTGTTGATCGAAGGAGATTCCTGTCGCATTGATGCAGTTCTATCCAATCCACGTGAATGAATTTCCATTTCCAAATCTTCTAGAGGCAGATCAGGATTACTCTGTGCTCGGGCGACACCCCCGCCGTGAGACATATTTGGCAGAGAACATTGATACGCGATGTATGTAGCCAAAAGTGCGTGTCTTCCATGTGGATCCAATTGACCGTCCGGCAAATTGGTGATATTTCGCACGAGCAAGCCTAAAGCTTCGAAAATAGTAGCGGCAACATTCAACGGCTGAGAGGGTAAGGTTGGTGGTCGCATGAGAAGACACAGTAATTGATCTAGTAATTGAGGAAGAGATCGCACTAAAGCGGAATGCGAGGCACGCGCTAACTCGAGGAGGGCTGATTTCAATTCAGATTCCATACCCGCTTCGCCAATGCGAGGCGGAACTTGACCGGTTTCCAGAAAACCACATAATGATAAAAATCTGTAATATGAAAATTACATATATTAAATATCTCTTAATTTATTCTTTAAATGAAATAAAATAATGTATCATTATTAATACATACCTATCAATATATTTATCTTGTGGATGAACACTGGAAACAGGCTCCAATATGACAGTAAAAACTCCTCGATGAGCGTCCACCCATCGAGTGCCTGGTAGAAGAACATCAGGTGCGATGTAAGAATAATTTGCAGGTGGTGGATCAAGCATAGCAGGTAAGCTAAATTCGCCTGATTGAAGATGACCGTCTCTTAAAAGCGGTAGCCACTACAAATAATCAGTTTTTATTTATTTAACATATTATATTATTAATTTCAATTTATTATTAATTTATTAATTACTGATTGAAATTTACTGTATAAGCAACTGCCGTTTCAACGTTCGGTTGTTCTGCTTTCTTTTGACAACTGATATGATAAAAGGTAAACAGTAAATGATGTTTAGCGCTTAAATCCGCGGGCAATCTCATCTTGACTTCATCATAAAAGTTCGGGTTCTTATTATGATATGATACAGAAGTAAAGTACTCGTGCGTCATTTCGGGACACGATGATCTGCCGAAAATAGCTGTGAGCGCATCGGCTTCTTGTTCACCTCCCATGAGTTGAATTCTTACAGCGATATTACGGGCTGAACCAGTCCTGGAACTGAAATTCGCTTCCTACAAATGATAAAACAATTTTAATGCATGATTAATAGAAAATATTTGATCATATTTTATTCAACACATACCTTGGGATAAAGATATAAAAGATTATGATAGGTTAAATCTGGTGAAACAACTTCGCTGGGGAACTCTAATATCTCTTTAACCGGTCGACTCTTCTCATCTGGATATGGAACTAATCTTCTAAGATCAGGATCTAGACACCTGGGTAACTCTTCCGGTCTAGGACTGAGATCCAATTTCAATATTCCTGGTAAGCATTTTAATCGTTTTAAATTAGAACCAGGTTTTCGCAATTCGACCAAAAGTTTATAGAGATCTTCATCACGGAGTCGTTCACTTTCCTGTTTAAAAAAGCTCGAGACAGTTAAAGTGATGGGTCTGCAAGAATATCAAGATTTTATTCAAATAGTCTGATTCTTTGCTCATAGAAATATTGTACAAACCTAAAGCTATCGAGACAATTGGCGAAATCATCTGGAGACCAACTGCGTCTCTTGTCCGAACTCCGTCTTTCCAATGAACCTCGCCTTGTTGGCGGTTCCACTTTCTTTCGCCACTGTTCCAAACTGCCTGATTTTCTATCTAAGGAACCAGCACTGCCAGTGCTATCTGCATCGCCACCACCTCCAATTACACCGGACAAATGAATTGCGGTCCATGCAAGAGGCATTCTGTAACGACCCAAACGTTCGCACGCAGCAGCAGCGGCAGCTCTGACCTTTAAAATATAAATAAAGCTATAATTGAAAATTATTGATTAAACGCATTATTTTATTTTTTATCTTATTTTATTACTTTGTCCTTATTTTTATCTTCACGTAAATAAGGTTCAGCACATTCTGAAATGTCACCCTGCAATACTTTCTCTAGCCGAACAACGAGAAATAAATCGGGACTAGGTTTACTGATGCTCAGAACACAGCTTCTGGCTAAAGTACTTGCATCACTATAAGCAATGTGTCCTCCAAGCATTCTTTTCAATCCTTCAGAATTCATATCAACATAAAAATTCTCAGAAACCTAAAACATAATGATTTATAATTAATATCAGGCATTCTTAAGGTTAAAGACATTCTTAAAGCTAAGTAATTTTAAGTTAAAAAGAAGGATATTATACCTTTTTTTTTTCCCTGGCATCATACAATGCAAGACTCGCAAATATTGGCTCCACTTCCAATTCTAATTTTAATTGCAAACATTTTACAAGAATTTTATGAGCAAAAGGCTCTGTAGGTTCAGGGGCAATACTAATTTCTTGCCATTCATCATCAGAAGATGTCGGAGGAGCATAAAGTGGAAATAAAGCTTCCTAAAATAAATATTTGATTAAAATAACGTTTATTTAAACTCACCATGTAACAATTATTCACCTGTCGATCTTCCAGTCTCTTTTGCTCATTCATCTGATCGATCGTTTCAAGGCAGACACGATCTAATAAACTTGGCAAAAGCGGATCATGCTGCGAATGTCGCAAATCCAGACTTGCCCAAGATCCTCTTGGAGTATCTCCACAGTTGGATAAATCGTCTTCCTCGTTTGGTGACCCACATCCATTTGTATCTTCTTGATCTACCTGATTAAGATAAATTCCTTTCTCATATTTGAATATTTGTAAACAAATTAATTCTCCTTTCGACTCACTTCAAAATCTTGTCTAGGTGTATCCTGAAGCAATCTGTCTCTAGCAATAGGTGATATTCTTCCTTTGTATTTGCGATGTATTACCATCCAGTCAGAAGTAAAGCTCTCAATGCATCTCTTAACATAAGGTGATACAGTATCTCTGCCAAACAAATAAAATAAAAGATACACCATTTATTTTAAATATTTAATTATATTAATAGCACTATAATCATTATGCTTACAATGATTCATGTGGAACTACTGGTTCCTCTGTTCGAATCTTTCTTTTTATAACTTTCAATTCGACATCTCCTGGTGGAAAATCTAGTATTGGTCTTAAAGGATCACGATCCAGCACCGATTGATGTTGTGCTAAGAATTCTTCATAATCAAGTGGTTCTAATACCTCACATAAAGACATCTACATAGGGATTAAATATTAATTTCCTTTGAAATGATTTCTTAAGATTTCTCATTCAAAAAAAGCCTATATACCGTGGAAGAAAATCCTGATACACTGCTTCCACTTTTTGATAAATCACGAGAATAAGAAGTAGAAGTAGCAATCTGCCGCCTTACATCGGCAGCATGTTGTTTATTTAATTTATGAGCAAATGCACGTTGGACCGAAGACATTATAAATGTCCCGGTAAAATACTCTGAGGATAAAATTCTATAACAAAGATTAAATAATCTAAATAAATATATATGTATTAACAAAGTATTAGATATTATTTGAACTTTTAAATTAAGATATAAATTAACACATTTATTTCTTTCTCAGTATGTAAATTGTTTTGTATCTAATATCTCTTTGCATTATTTTGACATATGTAAATTAGTTGTTGACTTGAGTTGACTGACTCATAAGTAATTAATTCTAATACACGAATTATTATAATAATAGATTTAAAAATAGAAATAGGAATAATTAGGAAATAATAATTAATATTCATAAGGGTTGTGAAAATTGCTTTAAAATAGAATAAATAATAAAATAGAATATATCTTATAATTGTATTAAAAAGGTGTACACCACAAAAAATATCGTGGCGAGAATGTATTTACGTTAATTCGGATTCATCGAAGATGGGATGACCAAAAATAACCGAGATTCGTCAATAAGAGAGAAATTCTATTCTTGTAACACTTTCTATTCTTATACTTTCTTTTGTTTTTTTTTTTTTTGAACTTTGACGTATTTGACGTAAATTGCCGTAAATCTTCGAGACTGACGCTTTTTATCAATCGCTTCTATCAGAACTACTATGATACTAGCGACATTCAGTCTTTTTCTTGAATCGAGTCAATTCTTACCATCTTATGATATGTGATTTTCATTAGCGTATAATATCATGTGAGACTTGCCATTATCATTCTCTGGTATATCAATTGGTGTCGTTACCGTATAACTGTACATATATGCATTATTTTGTTGAGTGACAGCTGTAAAGTAAACGATGAGCAGAGGAGGCGGACCTTCCTTCCTCCTGAAGATGTCATAAAGGATGCATGAAATTCCCTTTGCCATAAGTATGAGTAATAAAAAATCTGAGCCAGAATAGTGAATAGGAATTGGCGCAAATAATTTGAGAATTTTATAGATACATTATACGTATACAATTATACATACAAACATGTGTCCTGCACTTTTGGAAAACGAAGAGCGATGCTTGGGAGGCATGACTTTCTTCGCACAAAGTCATCCAGTGGAAGTATGCGGCAGCAATGGTCTGCCTCTCACGCCAAACTCAATAACTATTTATGGAAAGTCACAATTTTTAAAGACCATTTATCATTCTCATCTCTCCCCTTATCTTGATATAATTAGAAGCAAGCATGGTTGGTTTCAATTTAATATAATTTTATAAATTTATTTGCATACTGTATATATAATTATCTTGCATATATGTATTTATAGAAAGAATAGTGGTCGTCGCAGAATATAGCGGAGATCCATTAAGCACTAAACATGATCTAAGTACAGAAGAGATTATTAAGATATCCTTTCAATGTCTTTTGGCATTAAAACATATGAATGAACTAGATCTGGTACATAGACATTTAAGTCCTGATAATATTCTGATTAAGAAAAATGGTGATGTACAGCTATACAATTATGGATTATATTACATGACAGATGGTGGGAAAAATGTATCCTTTCCAATTGGGTATTGTAAAATATTTCCTTTTTTCAAAATATAATACTTGATAAATTTAAATGCTTGATAAAATTCCAAATAATATTCTTTTTTTATCAGTTCACCAAAGTATACGGCACCAGAAGTATTCTTAAATCCTAGTCCAAGTGGTGTTAAGGTAGATTCATGGTCATTGGGAATGATTATAGCGGAACAGTTATTAGGACAATCTATTTGGTCCAGTGTAAAATTGTCTCAATGTTTAAGAAAAGTTCTGAGCTTAATATTATGTGATACCAGTATATTTGAACGTCTTGCCAGAGAAAATAATTGTTTCCACATTTATGAAGTATGGATACATTTTCTGAAAGCATAATTATGATACAATTACAGTCTAATGTTATATATTTCTTTATATCATGCAGAAGCTATCAAAAGAATTAAAGGAATTTGTAAATTCATGTCTACAAATTCATCCTGTTAAACGTAAAACTCCAGAAGAATTACTGGAATTACCTATATTCGCAGAGTATTTAATGAAAAATGCACAGGAAAAGGAAGAAAATCTCTATAAAAATGTTATTGTTAGAAAAATGGACGAACTGTATTATTTGTGGCAGTTGGCTGGTGGAGACATAACTGTGGATTTAAAAAAACAAGGTCTCATTAGATCAAGACCACCTATTTTATCTATCCCAAAGTAATTATTAGATATATATCTATTTAGATGATAATTGTTAAAATAAAAATTCAATAAAATTTTATCTAATATTAAACTTTCTTTTTTAGCTTAGTCATATTACTGGGTCAAATGTTTGGCCAAAGAGATACCGCTAGCCTACTCGATATAAGGATTGTAAAAGTTCCTATGGAAACTCTTCGCCAGCGTTTAGCTCATATTCCATACATAGCAAATTATCCTTGGTTAACAAATCAGTCAGTATTCATTAATTTTCATTCAATCTTGTACTTATTTTAATACTATAGAATTTTTATAAATACATTATATTGCAGAATGCGAGTTCAAGCACAAGAAGACTTGATGAATGCCGCCTCCCAATTACCATTAATTATAAGAGAACGCGACACCGAATATCAGTTTTACAGGCTAGTCTTATTTGATAGACTCTTACAGGCGTATCCGCTTACTCAGGAAGCAATTATTGAGGAAGCACACAAAGACATACCACCTCCAGTAAGGGGTGCGGTGTGGGCGGCTTTGCTTGGTGTCACCGGCGATATAAAGAAACGTTATGATATGATCGACAAGGAGACACCCACTCACACTGATCGACAGGTACGACCACTAAATATAAAAGAATACTATTCAATGTATATAAATGCATCTCACTGATAATTTGTCAGATAGAGGTGGATATCCCGAGATGTCATCAATATAGCGAATTATTATCATCTGAAGCTGGGCACGAACGATTGCAGAGATTATTAAAGGCATGGGTCAGGAATAATCCGCATTATGTTTATTGGCAGGGACTTGATTCGCTGACAGCGCCTTTTCTTTATTTAAATTTTAATAACGAAGGTATGATTATCCGATACAGGTAATTATAGTTCCTTAATTTATTCCTTAATTTATTGCATAATTTATATTTTAGCTCGAGCATTCGCATGTCTTTCTGCCTTTATACCGAAATATCTTCACAAATTCTTTTTAAAAGACAATTCGGCAGTGATACAGGAATACCTGGGCAAGTTTTCTCAAATCATTGCATTTCATGATCCCCAGTTGGCAAATCATTTAAAATCTATAAATTTTGTACCAGAACTCTTTGCAATACCATGGTTCCTTACAATGTTTTCACGTAAGTTTCACTGTTTATAGCTTCCACATTATTAATCACCAATGCTAAAAATTATTAATATTTTAGATGTATTTCCATTGCATAAAATATTACATCTATGGGATAAACTATTACTGGGCGACTCGTCATTTCCTCTTTTGGTCGGATTGGCAATATTGAAACAATTGAGAGATTCCTTATTGATGTCGGGTTTCAATGAGTGTATTCTCCTGTTCTCCGATTTGCCCGAGATCGATATAGAACTATGTGTTAAAGATTCCATGACGATGTATCAAAATACACCTGTTAGCATCACATATAGAAAACACCAATATAATACAACAAAGGTATAATAACAATCTTATATATTATTATATATTCTATTCTATTTCTTTTATAATACATTTTATTCTATTCTATGTCTAATATATTTTAATTTTCTGCATAAGACTCTAATTGATTTGCAGGATGCAAACTGGATTGAACCTGAAGCGGGTACTGAAAAAATGCCAAGGATAAATGTAGATGATTTTTTAAATCTCTACAACAACTCACCAAGCAAAATTATAGCGGTTGATGTACGTAGCAATATACAGTGAGTATTTGTACAAACTAATAACAATTTTATTAATTAAAGATTCTTATTTTTTAAATTGGTAATTTTTAATAGATTCGAAAGAGGCGCTATTCTAGGCAGCATTAATATCCCATTTACGAGTGTACAATTGTCTCAAACTCATATCGAGACACTCGGTCCTCATGCAAAACCATTGATAGATAATAAAAATAATGTTGTTGTAATTATTGGACCACACGATCAAAATAATGCACTGGTAAGTAATTATATGTAAGAGGGAATTATGAAAAAGAAATTTATTGCAACATATTCTCTGCAACAGTTCGCAGATTTTCTAGTAAAGTGCAATGTTGTGGGAGTTTGCTCTCTGCAAGGCGGAATTAACGCATTACGATCCAAATCTCCAAACATCATAGTACCTGCTGCACGCTAATTGAATTACGTAATTACATTACTGTATACAAGATACTCAGATTTATTTCTCGAAAATTAATAATGATATTATATGTTCTATAAAACATGTATGTACAAGAACTGTATACTTTTGTTAAAAATATCGCATAGTGTAATATATGTCTTTCATATTTCATATCATATATACTATAAAGTACATCTGGTTACTATAGCAACAAACGTCAAAACTATAGAAATTTAGACACGTGCACGTTTCCTTGTACTTGCTTAATTTGATTGCATTATAATAGTGTTTAGATAAGTAAATATGGAAAAAGATATACCACCAGATCTTGAAAAATGGTTAAGAAAATGCTTGAAAAAGGAATTTGGGAGAAACATACAAAATGCCATAGATAAGGAGCAAGAACCCAGCGATATCGCTTACAAGCTCACGCGTTCGAAAGACATGACTACTTTATTGAATTCTATAAAGAACGTAATTGCCGAACAATATATAGCAATAAAACCTTCATCCGCGGCATCACGATCGCAATCATCGCTTTCTTTTGCCAGTGATCTCACAGCAGACGATTGGGCCTCTCCGCAAGGAAACGGTGAAGAATACAGCTGTATTATCGATAGGATTAGTCACGATAAACCAGTTCACGTGAGGCTGGCTGGCTACGAAATCCTATTAAAAATTGAATTGTCCAATATAAATAACAATTCACAATGGGACGTTCTCCAAAAGGCTTTGTTGGATGGTCTCACGGATGATAGCAGAGCGATATTCGAAGCTAGCATGCAAGTACACGCTAAGTTATTGAATTATCCGCAATTGCATAGCATATATGGCAATTTATTAGGCGCGTTCAATGCGCAATATCATTCGCAGAAGATGCGCGAAACTCTGCCTACTCTAATCTCTGGAATTAATTTCAAATTCTTCTTACACGAGAAACTATTCTATATAATGTATCTAATAATTCAGTATCAAAAACAAATGTTAAAAAACACTAGGCACAGCGACAAGACCATAGAAGAAATCATCGAACAATTTATAGTATTTCTTAGTACGCATAGCTTTGGCAATAAATTGCAGCCTAAAACCTTAAACATACTAAATATCATCTCGGTGTTGGAACCGCAGGCCAAATGGAGTAAAAGATGGCTTCATAGTTTTTCTACCAGGAAAATTTTCATTGCCGCTTTGGCTAAATCTCCGACGTTTCTGCAAAACGTTGTCGAATGCGTCAAGAATGGTCTGAAGGAAACACCTTATTCTATTTCCGCATCTATCGTGGATGAGGGCAACGAGCTGTGTATTTCCGGAAATACGATAGAAACTACAACTTATCTGCATTGTTTAGTTTTCATTTCGCAGCTTTGTAGTTATGAAGCAAGCAGAACATTATTCATGGAGAATTTACTGAAAACGCCTTTTGATATCGCTGATTTTCTAATAGAATTGTTGAATTCCTTAAACAAATTAGCAGTGGAAGCGTCGAGTGGGGTTTACAATACCTCCTGTAGTGCTTTGCAAAACGTACTCAATGTATCAGAAATATTGTACAATGCTGAATTTTATCACGTCGCGTTATGCCATTTGATGTCTCTTCCTGAAAATGATATAAAAATTTGGCCACACATATTGAACATTATCTCTCATATGGTAGATACAGTCGACGGACCAGTATTTTTAACTACGCATTGTAAAGAACATTCTGCAACAAATTCTGAAAACACACCATCAAAATGCCCAGTTGCGATAGTGATGCAGTACGCATCAAATTTACTGAAACAACCGTTTTCTATAATGGATACAGAATGTATTCTTAGATCATTTAGTTTGTTAGAGAAATTATTCGACATTATTTATGACGTTTACGAAGCGGCACAGCAGCAGATAGAAACGCAATTTTATCCAGCCGTTGCCAATTTTTACAAAAAATTAAACAAATGCGGCGTCGAAAACGAGAATAAAATTCAGCAACTCGATAGGTACAAAAAAATTTTATCTCTGTAAATTCCTAAATTTATAAATTGAATTAAATTTCTAAAATTTTATTACAGCGCTATCAAAAAGGTTTTATTAAAAATAGTATCGATACCTCTTGGCTTGCAAGCGCTCGTCAAAGAAAAATTGGTGTTTGAGGAACTGATTCGCGGATTAATCGTTCCTCTAAGAGCAACCTGGAGTTCCACCGACATAGTCAGCTTCATCTCGTCTGCTGGTTATTTCGATCTGGGCTACAACGTGCTCGCGGATCTCGGATCTCACGTCTTATCAACTTTACTATCGCAAACGTGTGCAAATGCAGAAGATCCTAGGTGTTTTTACGACCCGTGGGACAAAGAAAATATCAACGAATTTCTACATATACTTACATTATTTTCTCTTAATTTTAATTGTAAATAATTCAAAAACAGCTTATATAATACATTTCTCATACATTTTTTAAATACACGATTAATGAAACAGGTTTCGTCGCATTTATGACGAACGACAGTGAATTAGACAACAACGAAGAAAAGGATAATCCTTCGAATTTATTTGAACTATTCCAAGCTGCATTAAATGAAGATTCTCGTTATCATCATTTGGGTCTTCTATCATTGAATGTAGTAATTTGGAACATAGACATTTATGTCTATTTAATAAATTTGTTAAACTTTCAGGTAATATATATTACATGCGATAAAAATATATTATATAATATAAATACATATATTTTTAGATAGCGTTGTTAAATATTCAGAAGGAGAGCACGATATTAATTGAAGTTCGCAATGAGCAAGATGATGAAATTGACGATTACGAGCAAACTATGATAGAGAATGATGATAATGATAAGCCAGAACTAATAAAAGAATACATAATTGACAATTCCAGTTTTTTACGACATAATATTTTATTGAAGTCGTATTACATGACATACAATAAAAAGCAACACATAGTACCATTGGAAGAATATGAACTTTTTTCGGAATTTCCACCTCCTAACATGTATGCAGATATGATAGAGTTTCAAGTTACGGAATATGATTCAGAATTAAATGACATGTTGCAAGAGGAGAGACCTGGATTGTTAGATATTGGTTGGGTGTCGCAAGTTAGAACGGCTCATAAAGCTTCGCGATCTCCAATGAAGGTTGAAGTGATTCCATGCAAATAAAATTTAAAGTATGCAATTGAATTACGATTTGATCAGCTTTATGATAGTAGAAAATAATTTTTATTTTAGAATTCAGCAATGACAAATTTATTAAACCAAATGTACAAAGCCATCCCAACTGCTGAATGGGTAGAACAGTTTAAATGGCAAGAGAATATAACATATGATGCCGATTATTGGCTCCCGGAAGATGTACACGCGATTAATGTTGCTCTGAATTATGCCGAACAAAGGCAGATTTTAAAGAATACTGACGAAAATCAGAAAAATTTGAAGCAATTCATTCATTCTGCCTACATATTTATACAATACAATAAACCGAACAGATTCGAAGGTTTCGACTGGTTCTTAGCAACAGTGTTTATTATTTGTGATGGAGATTTAAACAAGTATGTAATACGTTACTTTGATATTAACTTCAAACAATTTACTTTTCATTAAAAAAAAATTATTAACAAAAATTGGAGCCTCAGCTGACCGCGAATTAATCTTTTGACAGCATTTTCCGGTATAGTCTAGTAGCAACTTTTTGTTCAATCGATAAATCTCTTTGTAACATCTTAATTACAAAGAATTACAATCGATCAAACAAGACTTTCTAAACTACTGTCAATAACGATTAACTCAAGCTAGCCATGTATCATCATCGGCAGGTCTCAGATTGAAAACTTAATTTTCACCGAGTCAATGATTCCGTTTTATTATCATTGACCCGTCTCGAGACAGTTCTTTTTCATCATCGACCTATTATAATACTATAATTAGTGTAGATTGAGTAAAGGAAAAATCAGAATCTGTGAGATTTGAACACTCGCTCTCCCGCATATCAGGCAACCATTTTACCACCGTGCCATCTTGTTCTATTGTTCAATATCCTTCACTTTTATGTTTTAACTAGTACATTAGCAATAATTAATTATAGGTGTAAAACATTTATCATGCAGTTAATTCAATTTCCATCGACACTGCTTCTCTGGTCGAAATTGGGCAGAGTTATCGACGAAAGAAATAACGAAAATACTAGTTCACAATTTACTTTTATGCAAGTTTTAGAAGCCATGGTTAATATCGAGCTTCCAAATATTAAATATGGATTAAAGGTGATTGAATTTTTTTATCATACTTAAGGAATTACTAAAAAAAACATGTAATATTCTGATTTTTAAACAATAAGGATGTTTGTGGTGTGAACTGGTGGATGATATCCAATAGAATGATATCGCAATGCTTCTGGGGCATTCTTCCATGGAGCGAAATAGTTCATTTTTTTGCAATTTGTATTTTGTATCCTCCCGATTATATGGTGTATTATTGCATATCTCTTTTGCAATACTGCCAGGATACTTTGTTGGAGGATTTTACGAATAAAAAAATGTGGCCGGAAAATATGGTATGTATACGCGAAAATATCAAGTTATAAAAAAAGTTATATTTAATATTAAATAATTATTAAATAATTTGTGCCAAATGCATCTTCACATACAGATATTGAATGAATATCATTGTCATAATTACATTTCATACATGGATAATTTGGGGCAACGATATAGAAATCGGGTTTTACCGGCAATGACTAAAAATTTGAATTCAGAAGATGAGATATAATATATTTTATAATGTACGTAATGTATTTTATATCATCTTGATATCTTAAAAAAACAAAAAAAATATATATATATATATATTAATAGTATGTATGAAACTTTTATCCTGTAAAGGAAAATATTTTATATAGATTCTTTAAGAAAACTATATATTAATAAAATGATGTATTTATATAACAAATAACAAATGATGTTGCATTGTATATAATTAATAAAATTATCTTTTTATTTTTTCATAATTGTGTGTATAAATGCTTTTGGTTAGCATTAACTGATAAAACACGTATTTTGTACGTGTATGGGAACGTTTTGTGTATATATTTACTATATTTTTAGAAATCTCCATGTATATATAAGGTATAGTACTGGCACTTATAATTCGCATACCTGCGAAACCTTCAGCAAATTGATGAATTTTCTCATGATAATATATCAAACTGGAATTCGAATCTTTTTTATCATATAATAAAATTTTTTACTATATTGTCATTCATCCATATTAATCAAATAAAATCAATCTTCGTGAATCGTAAATAATTTCGCTACTTCATTTAAATCGTCATATTTTGTATCCCTTGCAAGAACCTGAGATATCATAAAAATTATTTCATGTTATTTAAATTACATTGTAATCCTGATCAACTTCAATATTATAGATAAAATTTGTATATTCAAATAAAAACCAAAAATATTTAAAGTAAATTATAAGGAAAGGTATGATTAATAATAACAATCTCAAACTTACTCGTCTGGCAATTGACATTCGGCTAAAGATATTCCACAGTACTATTCCTACTACAATATCATCTCGTAGATAGAAAATGACACCTTTTTCAAAATCTTCGTGTTTCATAGGTTTCTCCACTGATTTTACATTATCTCCAGATATATCTTTTTTTTCATTTTCTGTATTTATATTATCAACGTTCTTCACAATTTGTGTTAATGACTTTGATTGTATATTAGATTGTGATTCCTTAGAATTTGTTTTTTGTTCCTTGTTGCAAAAGAAGAACGAAATAAAGATAAAAATAGTTTGTTATACTTTATAAAATATATATTATACTTTATTGTGAAAACTACTTACTTCACTAGAATCGTTAATCGTTTCTGCCGCTTTTGCAAAGACTCCAACAGTTGGCAAAGATGAGTCTACGATACCTATCGCTTCATATCCTACATCTGGTCCTAAATCTGACCAAAACATCGATTGATGCACATAAGGTTTACCTATAAAAAATTCATTTATATATTTGTTTTTATATATTTGATTTACTTATTAGTTTTTATACTTTAATATTTTAGAAATACTTTTGCATTTGCAGAATTACCTGCACCAGTCATATTTTCACCAGCTAATCTTCCAGAAGTAACCGCGTGATCATGATGTTCAACTCTTCTTCTGCCAAGTTTGATATCATAGAAACATGCTGCATCACCAGCAACCCAAAGATTGCTTCTGGCTTCTAATTCAGCATTAACAAGAAATCCTCCTATCTTAGGCTCTGTTTCTAAATGCGAGGTTGTTGCCAAATCTGTATTTGGTTGAACACCTACTGCTACTACTACTTGATCAGCATCAATCTTTTTATAAAAAAAAATTAAAAAGATTGATAAGTAAAGGCACTTGATTAATTGTGCATAAAATATGTAAATTCTTTAACTTATTAACATACAGTCTGGCCACCAGTGAGAATAAGAGACAATTGACCGTTTTTATATCTATAATCTTCAACTTTTGTGTCAGGTATAGGATGAACACCTTCTACTTCAGCCTTTTTCGTGGTCCATTCACTCAAATATTCTGGTAGCACTTGTGCCATTATAAACTTTTCTTTATAAATTTGATAAACATTTTTAGACTTATCTACAATAAAAAACATATTTTATTACTAATAAAATATTTTTTAAAAATATATTGATTATTCCATTAATAAATGGAAACATACAACTTCTAGCGAGTGCACAGGCGAGTTCCGAACCAAGAAATCCGCCACCAATGATTACAATATTTTTGCACTTAGGATTAGAAATACTTTCTTCCAAATCGAGAAAATCATTCTTTGTTCTAAACGTTGTAATCTTATCTTTTATTTCGTCTTCAACAGATTCGAATATTGGTAAATTCTTCGGTGATGCACCTGTAAAATTACATTTAAAAAATTTAATTTTAAATTAATTTCAACTTTTCAATTAACTCAAACTTTTCAATTGATATTAAAACTTACCAGTCGCAATGAGACACTTGCTATATTTTATTTCGTGACCATCTTCGAGAATCACAGTTTTATTTACAGGATCAATTTTCGTTACTTTCCAACCCATAGCTACAGCAACTCCACCCTTGTCAGATTCCACAAGATGAGTAACATTTGAATAGAATTCCCGTGGTTCGTAAAATATACTATGAAATAAATGTAAAAATTCTATATAAATATGGAAAGAAATATAATCATTGTATTAATAATAATATTACTGCAATCGTAATTAAATAAAGAAAATTACCTCCTTTGAGTTCCATTCCATTGATTAAAACGTAATTGTGCACTTGTTTCTTTATCTGTGTTAAACCAAAGTTCTTTAGATAATGGTGGCCTCATGTACGGAAATTCATCTTCCTCTGCTATAACTAGAACCTGAACAAAAATTTTTATTTGTTTAAATTGAAAGAAAAAGAAATTCAAATCTATTGTTTAAAATACCTTAGCTTTGGGATCTCTAGATTTAATTGATCTAAATGCTGAAAATGCAGCTGTTCCTCCACCTATCAGTAGATAAGTTACTTCCTGAGGTATCAATTTGGATTCTGCTGGAACTTTAATTTTCTCTTTAAATCTCCTTTTTCCTTCTTTCTTTTCTGTGTGAAAACATAAATATATATAGATAACATATATCTCTGACACAAACATTTGTATTATATCAAAATAATTCTTAATTTAACTTACGTTTACTTTTGCCTTTTTGTTGACTTACTTCTTCATCCCACCAAGATGATGTAGATACCTATTAAAAATATATTTAAAAATGTTATAAATATGTTTCAAAAAGTTATACATATAATAAAAAAGAATTAGAATTAAGCAATATTAGTTTGAAGAATTAAGCAATATTAATTTGTCATAATATGCTACCTTATATACTGCAACTCCTGTGACAAGCAAGGCAGCAAGTAGATGCCAATAGCGAAATTGATATTTTCCATTTTTGCCAAAATCTGAGCCTTTTTCACTTAATTCTTTCTGCTTTCCATTCAACTTGCATTCTTGTGATAATGGGCAAGTTGCATTAGGTCCTATTTCACATGCAGGAACATCTTTCTGTGATTTGGAATACCTAGATTCAGGCACACATTCTTCTGGTTTGATTGTAGTGCCTCGTGGCTTCTGAGGTTTTTTATTGCTCGCATCGCTATTATAGCGTAAATTAGTGATATTTACAACTCCTGCGAATATTTTTAAGCTATTAAGGAAATATTAATCAAGAATATAATCAAGAAATATTTTTATTACAAAAAAATATTATTTATATCGAAAAACAAATTAAAAATAATAAAAAATATAATTCATAAAATGTAATATACTGCTAATCATTTATTATTTTGAAAATGTCTATGAAATGCATTTAAAAAAATATGAAATAGATTCATCTATAAGAGCATACATCTTTTTAGGTTATGTCATTCGGTGTTTGAGACTAAACACGCTGTGTAAACATAGCCTCATTGATCTAGGTATAATATATAATTATCGCAAGGACGCACACAAATGCTAAACAAGTATAATATAGACGAAATAAAAAAAAATTGACATAATCCTCCGTCAAGGGAGTGAAATTGCAAAGTAGGCGGGAAACGAGATTGCTTTTTCAAAAGCAGAAAAACGTAAATCGAGGAAGAGCACAGGCAGGGACAAAGAAGCGTAATTCTACTACTGGCGTCGATACGTACCGACGTATTTTACAGATTGATAAAGCCGATTTGCATGCGTGAGTCCGGTGGGCAATCGGCCAATAGCTCTACCGCATGCGAACATCTTCGCCGGGCCGGTCCGGTCGTCCGGTCGGCCTTACGCAATATGGTAACGCTTCTTTCAGCTGCTGCCGTTAACGGCGATCAGCCGCTGACTGTTGCTGCTTTTACTCTTGACCGGAAGGACGCTCGCCGGAAGGATGCTCGCTACGCGACACGCCATTACCTGAGGTTCTCTTCCTTGCTCTGCCTTGCCCGGTCGACTTTCTTTGACAAAGGACTCCTGCGACAGCAGGAAAGCCAGTAGACGAGACGCGTGAATTTAATAAATAGCCACTTCACACCGTGGGTCTGTTCTTTTCAGCTGCACACTGCTGCACTAGTGCAATAAGTTAGAAAGAGACAAACATGCTTTCTTTCACTCTAACTAATTGCACTAGTGCAGCAGTGCAGCTGAAAAGAACAGACCCCGTGTGGTACACATGAATGTCCGCACGTGGTCACATGCGCACATGTATGTGTGTGAGTACGCACGCAGCACGCTGGAATCAATTAGGATGAATGATTGAAGTTTGAATGAGCTAATCGCAACTGACTTCAGATCACGAGATCGACAGACGAGATCCCTCTCTCTTGTAGAGTTAAATGAAATAATAAAGTGAAGAATGTAGAAAATATAATAATTTAAAATTTGAATAGAGATATAATGATTATTTATAATTACTTTTTCCTCGTAATTATATATCTTGCGCTTAGAATTTTTATGCTCGATCATAGTAACAACAAAAATTTAATGGTGATTAAGTTGTACAAATTAATAAAGTAGAGATTAATGATTCTTATTTTCATTGAAATTAAGATTTAATAACTATAATCAAAGATTGATTCTAAATATTTTTACAACTCCCTTACTATTCAACTTCTTTTATTTCCAACGTTATCATTTATTTAATAACGTAACTTATCATCTGAGATAAGAAGATAGTTATGCGCAGTATGTGCTATAGATGGTGCATGTTGTATTATTTTTTATCTGAACTTTATATTATTCTTATGCGATTATTTCTCTATTTATATACATACATATACATATATCATTTTCTTTAATAAGCATTTCCTATAATTTTATGCCTTAAATTTGATAACACGTATGAGAATTATTTATAAAGTATTTTTATATTTATAAGTATTTTTATTTTATTCCTTTTATATAATTTTATTAATTTTATATAAATATTTAAAAAATCGAATATTAACAAAATTAATTTAATGGCTTTTGTTTTTTTTTTAATACCTATTATTGAGAATTGATAATTAATATCAAATAATAGATACATATTATCTTAAACTCTAATATTTATGTATGATATCTCTATATCGCTCTTATTAGATTATATCTATGATATAATTAAACATCATCAAATATTTAGTTATCGATTAACAGTAACAGTAATATCAATGTATTAAAGGATGGATGAATGTATTCTGTTATCAATTACATAGCTATAATTAACAAATTTCTAGCTACATGATGACCTAATATTATTGATCTACAGTATCTTCGTTATTTTACAATGAATTTTTATGACTGAAATATATTTTTAAACTGAAATATATATAATATATAAATAGTATATGATTTTTAGTTATTAGAGTAACCTCAATAAAAAAATTAACAATTACTTGTCATAATATGTTATGCCTTTTTTTCTTTCTCTCCCCTTTTCGGAAATTTTTGAAAAAATTTTTTACTCTACTTTACAAAAATAATTAAAGGCGGATAAACATAAATAAATTATTTTGGTAATATTTTCTTTATTAGTTTTTTAATAATATAATCACATATAAAAATACTATTATGTTAGTATAGAAAGAATCGTAAAGAATATTTATTGCATATATAGCGGTCATTATAAATATAAATGTTATTTTATTATAATATATACACTATAATAATATATGAGAAAGAAAAATTACACAAATATATATATATATATATATATATATATATATATATATAAAACTTCATAATTTATTTTGAACATACATACAATGTCTAACGAAAATTGTCAAAAAATTTGCAAATTAAATGAAATGTATACATTACATCCATTGTTTACATCCACTGAAAATGATTTTGAACATGTCTTCTTGTTTTGAATATACTCTTTTACTAAATACTTTTTTACTTTTTTAAATTGATACTTACTATTTTTTAAAGTAATCTTCTAAGTATTTTTTATAAATAATTATTTCAATTTTGTAAATAATTTCTTTTAATAAGAGAATACATACAAGATGTCTCAACCTCCGTATAATACTTTAATAGTGTATTATAGAGATAAAATAGAATCAAAAATTCTAATATGAAAATATTGAAACTACAATTTTTTTTTAATTATAATCAATCAAACTTTGCCAATAATATCGCATAGAAAGAACTGGCGCGTTCAGATCCGTAACGTATTTACATGCGTGCCAATCTGTCATCTGTTATTGATTTTTCGTGTCAGGTGATATTTTTACTGCGCAGCTGATTTTATTTTTTTTGTATTTTATAATCATAATAGATTAATTTCTACAAATATGTATGATATACGTAAAACGCACATAAGAAACGACAAAATAAAATCAACTGTGCAGCTGTTCAAAAATCAATATCACATAACATACAAAATCAATAACAGAAAACAGATCGGTACACGTGTAAGTGTAATTACACGCCTGACAAAGTTTGATTGTTTATAACTTTTTATAAATTTAATCGTTTATAAAAAAACTATTATAGAGCCTCATTTTCGTATTAGAATTTTATACTCCATTTCATCTCTATAATATGCTATTAAAGTATTGCACAAAGAGACATCCTGTATATGTATATACAGGATGAGTTTTAATGCTTGTTTGAATCTTTTTATCATGCGGGAGATTACCGTTGCATAATAAATTGATCGGTACATAAATGTGAATTATTTGAATTGACCATATCGAAGGTCTGAATATAATATGTATAATAATAATAATAATAATAATAATAATAATAATAATGATAATAATAATAAATATGTAGCTTTAATAATAATAATAATAATAAATCTATACTATATAATTTTAGCTTTTAATTTGCTTTAATTGTACACATTATATTCGGACCTTAGATACGATCGATTCAAATAATTGACATTTATGTACCGATTAATTTATTATGCAATCTCTCGCATAATAAAAAGATTGACACAAGCATTAAAACTCACCCTGTATATATATATATGTGTGTGTGTGTGTGTGTGTGTGTGTGTGTGTGTGTGTGTGTGTGTGTGTGTCTTTCTTTCTATATATTATGTATATTAGAATGAAGATGAATGGATATCTCTAGATTTGTTGGAAATAGAAAATGAAGACGAATCTTTGCAGCTGGTGCCTGTCGAAGAGCACCCCCTCTTGTGAACATAAAAGAGTCACTTGTGATTTTCTAACAAAACCTATTACCTATAGCTCTTTATATTTTTAAAGGGAAAAAAGAAAGAAAATGCTGACCGAAAATGGTGAACGCAAGTATGTAAGTTGTAATTCGAATAATTATAGTCTTATATTAAAGATTATTTTGTTAATAAAATACAAATTTCATAAGTTGAAGAAACTTTTTAAATTAATATTATTATATAATTATATTTGTTATATTTAAATATATTATATTTAAATTAATATTATTATATTAATATTATTATATAAATTAATATTATTAAAATAGAAATTTCATTAGCTGAAGAAATTTTTTTAAAATAATAATATTATTGCTAATAAAAGATGTCAAATTTTGTTTTGAATACATAGATAAATAAAATCTAGTATCATAAAATTATGTAGAATAATAACTTAATAAGAGTATACTAGCATATTCTGTTATGTTATTTTAATTTCATATAATAAATCTTTTTTTATTATCTTTAAGAAATGAAGGCTAAACTCAGTTATGGCAATTTAAAGTTAACATTATAGTCGATATAAATGTCATATGTAGGTTCACATTATTCGAATTTTTTTATTTAGTATTATTAAATACAAATATATTTTTCAACAAAATAATAAAATTGTTTAAAAATCAATTTTAATATAATATTTATAAATAATAATAATAATATATATATATATATATATATACACAATAATATATATATATATATATATATATATATATATAATATATAAATATATATAAATTGGCAATTTTTTTGTCGTTCATTAATAATTAATTCATCTAATTTTATATTTTTTAGCCAATTATAAAAGAATATGTCTTAGGAATAAATAAATTTCTACATGAGTGATTTCTCAATGAACTTTATCTTTAAAAAAATCATCTTAAAAGAGTTGTAGTGGCTTTAGAAAATATACATATGATAGTGTTATCAGCAAACATATTGATAAAAATGTTTGCTATCGAAATAAAGGCTCTATCATTTTCATATATAATTTCAAATAATTCTTGTTAAAATTATGATTAAGAAACATGTTTTCACTATTCCTTATTGTGAAAAATATTTCTAATCATATGCGTTTATTGGAATTGCGTCACTATCAACAACTCACAATCAGTTAATTCGTGGGTTTAGCGTAGTGTCGGAAATCGTTCTCATCTTAACATTTATGATTTTGTAATCGCTCCTATTAGTATTTAAAATACATGCTCAAATTATTTAATGTATTCTATTATAAGATTTGACAAACGCTTAACATTTCTCAATATAAAAATTTGCCCTTTTGATCGTGATTGCAATCGCCATCGCATTCTCTATTGAAGATATTATTAGAAATTAAATATATTTAATGTAATATTATATAATTTATTCTCAACGAAAATATACGGATGAAAATATTTGCATGCATAACAATTTTTTATATAAATTAAATATGATACGTGAGAGTTTTAGTTTTTTTTTATATATTAAAAATAATCCTTTAAATATATTTAAATCTATATTTATATAGTAAAAAAAGTGTTGCTGTTACTATATGAGGATATTTTAAAATAACTTTTTAAATTTTTATATTTTTGTAATTATTTCAATCTTTTAAATAATAACTCTTTTTCTTGTAATTTTATTTTAATATGATATAATAATATCATTTTTCTGTTATGTATTCTAGATAAAGATACAACAAATAGATTCTCTGGATTTTTTGCCGCCACAAAAAAGACAAATCTTTAAAATTATACAAGAAATACCTATCAAAGAACCACACTATATACCATAAATTCATTTATGATATTTTTTTCTTATAAAGGTACTTTTTTATAAGAATATTGTGAATGGAGCTTGCGCTATTTATTGCATTTCTACAAGAAAACGCAAGGGAAGATGTTATGATGAGTTTTCTGTTTTTGATTATCAAAAATAATTTTTATGAGAATTGCGTGCAATGTTCAAGCATTATATTTATATAATATTTTATACGACAGTTTAAAATTATATTTATATAAATTATATTTATATTTTATACGACAGTTTAAAATACAAAAAATACAAAATATTTTCCTTAATATGAATAGTTTTTCCTAACAATTATATAATTAATGATTATAAAATCATAACATTAATTTTAAAAAAATTGAAAAACATCAATGCTGATATAAATATTATACATTATAGCATATTGACAGAAATAAAAATTGTTATCAAATTGTTATCAATTGATGTTTGATTTTTATGCCTGTAATCATGAATCATGTATTATTTTTAATAACATAAATATTATATTTGGTCTGTAATCTCTGAATGGGGAATTTCGACGAAACATCTGTTTAAACTCGGGGAATCACATATTTATTTAGAAATGTCCCCACTATTCTTTATAACTTTTCCTCTTAATCACTCCTATGAGTATATAAAGCACAGCTCAAATTACTTAACGTATTCTACTGCAAGATTTGAAAGACGCTTAAGTTTCCTCAAGATGAAGATCTACGTATTCACTCTTTTGGTGGTGACGGCAATCGCCGTTGCATTCCCTACTGAAGGTATTTATTGATCTTAGAAATTAAATATATTTAATACAATTTTTATAATTTATTCTCAACGAAAATATACGGCCTAATAAGAATATTCGCACCCACATGATAATTTTTTATATAAATTAAATAACATAATACATGAGAATTTTTCTTTTTTATACATTAAAAATAATATCTTTAAAATATACTTAAACCTATATTTATAATAGTAAGAAAAGTATTGTTGTTACAATCATGTGCGAATTCTTGAAAGTAACTTTTTAAATTTTTGTATTTTTTTAATTTTGTAATTATTTATCTTTTAAATAATAACTATTCCTTTATATTGATAAATAATAACTATTCTTTTATATTCTTCTATATTTGATTTTATCTTAATATAATAATAATTTCTTTGTTATCTAGAGCTAGAGCTAGAGGAAAATGTAACGGTAGAGTCTCCGGACTTTTTGATACTGAAAAAAGATAAATCTTTGCAAGAGACACCTATCAAAGAACATAATCGTACCCGTAGAGCTACCTGTGATCTTTTATCTGGCTTCGGTGTTAATCATAGCGCTTGCGCAGCTCACTGCATTCTAAGGGGAAAAACCGGGGGAAGATGTAACAGTAACGCTGTTTGCGTGTGTCGCGCGTAAGTGATTCACACAACTAATTAGAATTTTATTATAATTTACTTTAATACAAAAAATAATTCGATTAATATTAATTATTATATGCAGACTCAAAGTAACCAAAAACTTAGTTCTTTTTTTTCTGTATACAAAAGAATATATTAAATTTCTATTAAACGTTACATTAATAAATAAAAGAAAAAAATTGGCATGTCATATCATAGATTTAATAATAATTCAAAAAGAAAAGAAATGTGTGTCTATATATATAAAATTTCAATTATAATCCTAATATATTCTTTATTATTTATTCTTATATTCTTTATTATTTATTATTATATATTCTTTATTATTATTCTTATATATATTATTATTTTCAGGACATCGGCTGGCTAAAACTTGTTATAAATTCATTTCCTTAAAAAGAGAAGTGGAATGAGAATTTTAATAAATATACGTTGCGTATTCAAACAATAAGATATTAACATTATTTTCAACAAATGTATATGTACCAGAAATTTGTTTATAATAAATATACTTTAAATATCTAAAAATGTTATATCTTATATATCTTAACGTTATACATACATACATACATATATATATATATATATATATATATATATATCCTTCTTTTAAATAGTATTTTAGAACAATATGGTTATTACATTTTTATCTATTATCTTATTATCCATTGTTTATAACTTTAAAAATTATTTTAATGGTCAAATATAGTTATATAAACTATTGCATAACACATAAATATTCTAATATGATTAATTTAATAATATTATATTTGTTGTATAAATTTTATTTAATAAAGCGATTTAGATTTTATATAAATTTTTAATAAAATTAAAGCCAAGTTCTAAGTTTCGAAAAAAATTAGCGTTCTGAATATAATATGGTGTTCTAAAATTGTGTATATTTTGTATATATATATAATTTATGTTTGATTATATTAATTTATATATTAAATTATTCAATTGAAATTTTCAAAATTAGAATATAATTTATGTAATCTTTTATTTTTTTGTCATGTAAATATTGCCGGCGAGAAAAAAATAGATAAGTAAGCACCATTTGCCTAAATAAGATAGAAAAACATAAATTCTCAAGAATGCAGTGCGGAGAATATCTGAGGAACTAATTATTTTCTCATTACATTGTTTATTTTATTTTTTTACTATACAACTAATTATTTTCTTATTTTTATTATACATACTGTAATTAAAAATTATCTTTAACTATTAATATTATCTTTAATATATAACAAATACGAGAAAGAGAATATTAATTAATATTAATGGTAATTAAAAATTATCTTCAATTATTAATATTATCTTTATTCTTGATTTCTAATACATAATTGGAATGATTGGAACATAATTGGAATCATTAATATTAAATTTCTAATGTAATAAAGACGATGTGTGATAATCAATTTTGAAAGATTAGAAACGTAATATTAATTATAAATATTAATAAACATACAATAGTAAAAAACAAATAACGATAGTTACTACGAAATAGCATAAAACTAATTTAATTGATCAAGATTTATCATGTATCTTAATTTAATTAAGTAAATATACGTACAAAAATAATCAAGCAATTATTATACAAACCAATTTCAAGATAGCTCGTTTGCATCGTTATTTAAGCATGTATACAACACGATCGATTGCTATTCGAAAGCCGACGTTTTGTTTTTTGACAATATGAGAATTTATTTTCTCGCTATTCTGTTCACTATAGCGACAACCATGGCCATGGCAGCGTTCGATGCATGGTTTGTATGTTTTAATAGATCGCATAAATATTTTCTTCATCTGCACACAACGTGATTTATAGCTGATGGCATTTACGTATTCAAAATGTGTGTGCGACTAATAGTTAATATAATTAAAAATCTAGTATATAGTATTAAGTCTAGTACATATAGATATATTAATATAAATAATATTTTTCCTATAAATATAGAAGAATAAAGATAAATTTCTAATACACTATAATCTTGGAAACAAATTTAAGATAGTTTGATGATTGGTTTTAGTCTCAAACATTAATAATAAAGGTATAATACATTAATTATCCTAGAACTATTGCGTTATTTATATTTTTATTTTATATATATATATATATATATATATATGTATATATATATATATATATATATATATATATAATTTATAACTGTTGTAAATTGAAATAAAAGTTGATAGCTTTTGAATAAAACTATATATTCAAAGTTATATGTTAAAATATAAAAATGTAATAAAAATGCCTAATAATTTAAAAATATAACAGTTTTATTTATATTTTTTTCCAAAGAATGTATTAATATACATATATTACGCAGAATCTGCAAAGGAAAACTGATAGATATATACTTTACTGTGTCAAAAATAATAGCTTTCGGGGAGTTCCAATAAAGTTTCTCGATAAAATTAACGTTGAATATATTAACCGTGCATTTTTTATCACACAATTTCTAGTGTTATATTTAAAACTAGGTATTTTATTAGGATTCATTTTCGGGTTCATTTTCAATAGGATTCATTTTCAATCATTTAATTTTTTTTATTCTGGTATTATATTCTTTTTTTATGATTCTTTCCCTTTTCAATAATTTTGAAATGTTAAAATAATATGTTAAAATAGATACATTATTATCCTGGTTTCTCTAAAATTTTATGATACTAAAAATTAAACGGTAAATAAATAATTTTAAGATGTAAAAAAAACTTTTATCATATGAGAAATTATTTTAGTAGATATCAGTCAATATATAAACATTAATTTGTTTATAGTGCGATTCTAATAGCTTTTTTAAATCACACATGATAACGAATTCAACGTGTAGTTCATTTAATGAGCAATTTTAATTTATATATGGACATTCATATCTACGAATATTATGAAAGATTAGTATATCTAATGTATATGTATATATATATATATATATATATATATATATATATATGTAAATTATCATATAATAATTAGTAGATCTAAAATCTTTTATAACATGGAGCGGTATGAAATGTTTTAATATTTTCTCGTTCGAGAAATAATAAATGCCACAATATATAAATGCGGCAATATCAGTAAACATTACAACAAACAGAAATAACCGGTATACCGCAAATGACATATCGGTATTGTAGCTACTGATGATCAGGCGACACTGGACATGAAATTTTCGTGACAAATATTTGATTTTACGTTTAATGCTGAATTATTCGACATACGCTGTTACTATATCATGCATCATTTGGGAATAAATAGCTATGCAATCATTATAAATAAAAAATCAAATTTCCGTGTAATAAAGGATTAATTAACTTAATTAAAAATAATTATTTTAATTATTTAGAAACAAACATATTAAGCATAAGAAATACAGCTTTCGTTCTTTTATAAAATATTCCTATCATCTGATGTTAATATTGTTTGTTTAAAAAAAATATTAATATAATTATAATAATTATATGATATGATAACATAATATCATAAATATTTATATTTAAAAGATTTGGCATTTGTAACTTTAAATAATTAATAGAATAATATAATTATTATTTGTACATTTTGATTGATTTTAGTATATAATGCAAATTATTTTAGCAATATCTATGCTTAATTTTGAATATTATGTAAGAGATATTTTGCACACAATTTCGTAGATTAGTTTCTAAAATTATCTTGTATAAAATGATTTAAGTGATTAATATTTATTAATGGAGAGAGGAATCGTTATCGATTATTCACATTATAATAGTCTATTTAAAAAGTATCACAATTCTGTTTGAAATCAAGAAAGATTTCTTACGTATTTTGCTAAATTATTTGAAACGCCTAATAATAATTAGATTTTGAAATGATAAATCAAGAAATTGTTTATTTCCTTTGTTCGAAACAATTTAAACAAACATGATCAAATATGAAAATTTGTTTTTTCATTATTTATTAAATAACTTTTATATATAATTATTAAATAGTTTCTATAATAACAATCACTGTTACTGTTTGTTAACAATTTACACACACACACACACACACATATAATTTCAAAAAATATATTATATATAATACTTATATATGTAACAATTATTTTTATATTTCTGATTCATGTGATTATATGATTATTTATGATAAAGTAATTATTTTATATATACAAAATCTTTAAGAAAAAGAGATTATTAAATAAATCTCTCTATGAAAGACACATATATATTATTTTAAAAAACACGATATTCACACATTACTTATCACAATTTTCATAATGGCTACATTATTAATAATCCTACTTTCAATGCAACATGTGTTTATCTGTATGTGTATGTACGCATGATATGTGATTGCTCTGATGTAATCATATTCTTAAATAATAAATTGGATTTTCCCAATACATGATCATCACAGATATTTATTAAGAAAGAAGATGTGTATGCAATATCAATATCGTCATAATTCGCAATCTGACATGAATTAAGAAAGAGCGATGAATATTATAATTAATCCATGGATATAATAAATAAAAAACTAAATAAAAATATAAAGAGAAAAATGGAATGAAAAGAAAAAAGAATAATTAGTCACGTTATAGCGTTGAAATTACACATCTCACATAATTTTACAAACATTCCTGATTTCTACATTAATAATTAAACACATACGTAATTATATAAATAGTGCAAATATATACAAAGAGTAAATCTTAAAGATTTAAATAAAATTATATAAACTATTAATTTCCTATTGAAAAATTTTGCATTAATGAAAATGAGAAAGAGGAAGAGAAATGAATTTTTTAGCTGAAATGTATTACATATATTCTTGTATATGATAAATTTCGATGAAAATTGCAACAAAGGGAGAGAAAGCAGACGGGGACGGGCGATTGATAGAAAGAAAAGTAGGAAAATGCGACCAGGAAACCAATATGCTTTGTGCCTCGGCGCGCAATTAAACGGTCGAGGGAGTTTGCCGGCGATATTTTTCGACCAGCGATTATTAGGATTTTTCTCCCTCATCCCCTGGGGCGTAACTGGATGATTCTGTGGTCTGAAGGGTCCTCCAGAAACAAACGCGATCGTGTACGCACTCTCCTTTCTCTGCGCGACGCGGCTTTCATTAAAAAAATCGGACTCATCATTCATATCCTTCTTTCGTCTTTTTTCTCTGCCCCTTCGTGTCTTTGTTTCTCTCTTAAACAATCTACATTTTTTACTGACGAACCAGTCACTTGTCCATTTGTTGGAAATGATTCCCTGCAAACGTCCACTGTCGTTATAGAGACAAAGAATACCACTTGCGGCACATGCCTTTGTAATGCATAAAGTATTCTTGAAATGAATTTCTAATTTAATTTATCTAGATGATATTTTAATATATTTTAAAATCTTATCGCAATTCATCATGAAGTTGTCATATATGTATATCAATGTATTATTATTGTGTTTTAACTTATTAAACTAAGTTTCTTAATAATTGCAATTTTATATAAAGTTATTTTATTTTAAAGGTGAAATTAATATATTGTGTAATA